ACCCTGACAGTTTTTAGGGAGAATCCTTTGTTGAGAGGTGATTAGCTGGCCCTGATTGTTTCTTGTCTGGAGTTCCCCTGTGTTTGAGTGTTGTTCTTTATTTACAGTTATAATTTTAGAGTTTTTTTTAATACTGGTAGCCAGATACTGTTCAGACTAGAAATAGGAAGATTTCCCATTCTCCGCTCCTGGAATTACTGCCTAAAGAGGGCTAGAAAGAACCCCCTCTCAGGGCCCTTCCACACAGCAAAATAAGATATGTGCAATGTACATAGGAATTTTTTTATTGATTTTTTAAAAACTATAGTCTGGCCCTCCAACAGTCTGAGGGACAGTGAATTGGCCACCGGTTTAAAAAGTTTGAGGACCCCCGGTGTACATCAATGCATATACAGGAGTTTTATTTTTTAAAATCCCAAACAGTTTTATTCTCAAATATTTCAGTTACCACTGAGGTGCTGAACTTGCTGACCGAAATGTTGGCGGTTCGAATCTGGGGAGCAGGGTGACCTCTTGTTGTTAGGCCCAGCTTCTGCCAACCTAGCAGTTCAAAACATGCAAATGAGAGTAGATCGATAGGTACTGCTTCGGCAGGAAGGTAATGGCACTCCATGCAGTCATACTGATCACATAACCTTGAAGATGTCTACAGACAACCCCAGCTCTTTGGCTTAGAAATGGAATTGAGCAACACTCCCCAGAGTTGGACACAACTAGACTTAATGTCAGGGAATATATCTATATCTATATATATGTATGCATGCTAAGTCTCTTTTCAAAATGCAGATGATGATATAAAAAAAATACTAATAACAGGAACTGAATACTGTGTAATCCTGTAAATTATAATTTGGACAAGCGCTAGAACTCTCTGTTTTATAATTCTAAATTTACCAAACTGCAAATTTGATTCTACATATAAAAATTAAAGAAGGTTTAAGAAGACAGGTTATTCAATTTAAAATAAAGGACAATAAGACTCCTCTTTTATATAGAAAATATATCGACTTTTCAGAAACTTAGTAGTTTAAACAATGGATGTTAGGGTAATAGAGATTAAGAACTTGATTTAATACAATAAAAAATGTTATACAATGCTTTCCCTTTGCCCCCTATATCATTCTCCCCTCTCTTGATGATTCATCAAATATTTGATGAGATTTAATAATTTACTAAAATTAATAATAACATCCCTACCCTTTCCGTTTCCCCATCATAACCCTTGGAAAAATATTAATAAACAAAATATAAATGGAAGTATTTCTAACCTTTTAAAAAGTGGAATCATAGTGCTATCCCTCTGTGCCCATAGCTTTCACAACTCAGGGTTGTGACACCCCGCCTGTATTAATTTCCACCTGTTTGCCTGAATTAACCAGGAAAAGATGTATAACCCTCTATTGTGACCTTGAATTAATTGCCCATTATGACTGGGTAATTTGTCATTTATACATTATGAATTTATATGGAGAAAATAAATTATGGAAACTTAAGCTCATAATTTTAAGGGGAAAATGGTTGAACCCATTGCTGAAGTTGATACATGTGAGGAGACTTTGAATAGCAACACTTAAAGTGAAAGGACATTTTCCGGTCTGCTAATGAAAAGTGCTCAGTGATGCTAGGGAAGAAATGTCATGTCCGCTCCTTGGAAAACCGATACCACTCCGTTTCTGACTAAATTGCATTGTAAGAATGCAAGTAAAAATAAGAATTAAGGACCTGTACAACTGCAATCATTAACCCCCTTTTTATTCTTTAATTGCCTAATTCCAGCACTAGGTAGGGAATATATTGAAGTTGAAACCCTAATTCTGGCCAATGTAGACCTTCTTTAGCAATCCTTCTCAGTTCCAAATAGGGCTTTATTTTTGAGCACAGTAGTAAACATTCAGGAAACAATGTGCATGGAAAGATAAGGAATAGATTTAAATTATGGAGCATTTGCAGGTAGTCAAATCACATCACATGCATTGTTGTGTTAATGTGGGCAAAATAATCGCGGAAGCACTGAATAATAGACTCTGGAGTCTCCGGTAAAAGCAGGTTTCAGCTTTACTTGAGCAGTTCAAAAATATCAGTGTTTCTCAACCTGGGGGTCGGGACCCCCTGGGGGGTTGCGTGGGGTTTCAGAGGGGTCGTCAAAGACCATCAGAAAACATATATTTCTGATGGTCTTAGGAACCCCATTGGCAGAGAAGGGTGAAGAACTCTCCGCCCATCTTTCTTTTCCTTTTTGGAAACGTGACAGCGAATCCTCCACCAAAAATGCTTCTTCGCTGTGATTGGGCAGCCTCTCAGCCAAGAGGAGGGCTGTTTCTGAGATTCAAAGCGGGGAGGGGAGACCAGGTGTGCTTGGTGTATGGCAACGTGGTGAACATGTGCGGGCAAGGGAGAGCATACAAGGCTGGAGGGAGGCTCGCACCAGCGAGTCCCTTCAATGCATGGGGGTTCTATCATTGATGGGGTTCAGAATACTCTTTGATTGTAGGTAAACTATAAATCCCAGCAACAACAACTCCCAAATGTCAAGGTCTATTTTCGCCAAACTCCACCAGTGTCCACATTTGGGCATACTGCCAAGTTTGGTCCAGATCCATCATTGTTTGAGCCCACCATGCTCTCTGGATGTAGGTGAACTGTAACTCCCAAACTCAAGGTCAATGCCCACCAAACCCTTCCAGTATTTTCTGTTGGTCGTGGGAGTTCTATGTGCCAAGTTTGGTTCAATTCCATTGTTGGTGGAGTTCAGAATGCTCTTTGATTGTAGGTGAACTATAAATCCCAGCAACTACAACTCCCAAATGATAGAATCAACCCCCCCCCCCCGACTTCCCCACTAGTATTCACATTTGGGTGTTTCAGGTATTTTGTGGCAAATTTGGTCCAGTGAATGAAAATACATCCTGCATATCAGGTATTGGCATTATGATTCACAACAGTAGCAAAATTACAGTGATGAAGTAGCAACGAAAATAATTTTATTTGGGGTTCACCACAGCATGAGGAACTGTATTAAGGGGCCGCAGCATTAGGAAGATTGAGAAACACTGTTCTTCATCCTGGAAAGAAGTGACTAGTGGAGTGCCGCAGGGTTTGGTCCTGGACCCAGTACTGTTCAATGTCTTTATTAATGACTTAGATGAAGGTTTAGAGGGCATGCTGACCAAATTTGCAGGTGACACCAAATTAGGAGGGACAGTTAATACTCCAGAGGACAGGAGCAGAATTCAAAATGGGCATAACGGGTTAGGGAACTGGGCCAAAACTAACATGCATTTCAACAAGGACAAATGTAAGATACTACACTTAAGGAAAAACGAAATGCAAAGATACAGGATGGGTGATGCCTGGCTCAACAACAGTCCATATGAAAAAGATTTTCGAGTCTTTG